CAGTGAAAAAAGTAAAAAGATGCTGGAAGAGGACTGTATGCTGATAAAGTGCATTCATTTTGTCGTTTACTTGTGTTTTACCCTTGTTACCTGGCGACTGTCGCTAGGGTTGGAGCGTCGCCGGGAAAACAGGGCTGCTGATCTGTGTTCAGTGGATGGAATCTTTGAGGCCCGGCAGAGATGCTACATTCAACCTCTGACCTTTGACCTCGAGGGTAAGGGAGTCATGAGGTTCATGGAGGAGGTGGAGGTCGCAGGCTTTTACATTTCATCTCATCCAAATTCTTCCAGTATTTGTAGTTCTCCGCCAAATGCTCCATCAGGCCTGGCAAACTGGCAAATGCTTGAGAGAGAGAAAGAGAGTAAAAAAATGAGGTCAGTGCAATTACAGCCTGATAACTGTAATTCATTTTTTTTTTTTAATTTATAATTTTATTCAGCTTGCATTAAAATGATTAAAAGTGAGAGTAAAGACAGGGCGCAAAATATTTATATTTCAAATAAATGCTGTTCTTTTGAACTTTCTATTCTTAAAGAATCCTGAAAAAATGCAGCACAAAAGTTTTTAACATTGATAATAATAAGAAATGTTTCTTGAGCAGCAATTCAGCATTAGAAAGATTTGTGAAGGATCATATGACACAAGACTGGAGTAATGATGCTGAAAATTCAGCTTTACATCAAAGTAATAAATTACAATTTAAAATGTATTAAAATAGAAAACATTGGTTTTAAATTATAATAATATTCTACACCATTACTGTTTTTACTGTATTTTCGATCAAATAAATGTAGCCTTGGTGAGCATCAGTAAGCAAATGTTGCTCATTCTGATGTTTTTCTTTTCCCTCATTTTACCATCTGTTCCGTTGCAATGGTTTCTGGCAGACGGACTACAGACGGTAGACTGTGCATGTTTTTGTTTGCATGAGTGTAAATATGGCAATTTGTATGTTCACACATATGCACGCAATTTTTAGATCCTCCCAAGTATGTTTTCAGTGCCCCCGCTGAATTTGTCCAACACACACACACACACCACACAGCTCCTCTATGATAAACTGACCTGATTGTGACCTTGGGAACTAAATCTGCGGAGAGCTCAAGAGATTCTGCTTCACTGCATCCTGACCCCATACTACGGAAATCAAAGACACACACACACACACACACACAGATGCACATTCTCTCTCTCTCTCTCTCTCTCTTTCTTTCTCTCTCTCTCTCACTCACACACACACACGGTCACCCCTGTCCCTCTCCACGATTTTTCAAGTTTCCGTGACATCATGGCCGTTGCGTGTTGACAGTATGCAGGTTTATTCTCTGGAGTTCAGCTCAGTGGGAAACACTGAACCTAAAGTTTCCAAAGCTCACCACCACAATCATCTCAACCTCTGGATAACATTATCACAACCTCTCAGCAACCATCTAACAGACCCCCGTGCTTCACCCCTCCGGTCCAACATCTTCTGCTGCTAATGGACCATTTCATCTCTTTTAGGAGAACCAGATGAGTCAAAAGATGCCTGGGAAAGTATTCTCTCACTCTCCGTTTCCCTCTCTTAAACTCACACAACTATACTGTACAGTTACACAATATCTTGTACCAGAATTATAATTTTATATTCAATATTTGGTAAATTTTGGCATATTTGTAGAGCCTGGATTTTTTCATAGAGCTGAGTGAAATATTTATGTTATATGCACAAAGGAAATATAAAATTGATCACACACATTGCAGTGTTCTTAAGACGAGATCTTCTAGACAGGTTCAAGATCATATCTGGTTACCAGTCTTGTGTAAACTATACAGCATGAATATCAACATTGCTGTTTATTTAAGTCTATGTACACACAGTATGACTAAAAATGACTATTTTCTTTCTTGAGTTCAGAATTCAGTGATTATTTTACTATTTTAGTGGTTCTAATTATTTCTAATCTTACAATCTTGCAACTGTGGCTGTGATGAAGTTTTAATATAGTTAACTAAAACTAAAACCACAAAAAAAAAAAAAATTAACTGAAATAAACTATAAAATCTTGTAAAGTATAGTATTTCATCTAGAGGTATTTGCCAATGAAACATTTTTTTTTCTTATAGTTTATCTTGATATATTAAAACAGCTTAAACTAAAACTGAAATGAAAATTGCTAAAAAGAATAAAAAACGAATACAAATTACAAAAACACGGCAAAATTATTAAAACTTAAACTAAAGTTAAAATGAAAGTTATAAAAAATTCTATAAAAAATATTTTAAAATATTAAGAAAAACCATCTGTGATACTAAAATAACACTACTATGAGTTTGAAAGCAAATTTCAAAGCAAAATACATATTGTACATATTGAGATAAATATCAAAATACTGTTGAAATTTTGCGAGAAATCACCATTGTATTGGGTATGTGAGTATGTGTATATTTACCATCCCAGGCATCAAACATGTCCGTGATGAAATAGTCGATAAATGAGATCTGGGATTTAGGAATGCTGCAGGTATTCCGGTCAAACACTGGCATGACAACCGGCAAACCTTGTCTCTTCTCCTCATCAGTCTAGGGACAGGGGAAGATTACAAACACAGAAAGCAAACGATTAGTGAGTGGAGACATGGT